TTTTTTTATACTAAATGGAGCAGCCTACCTGACATATACTGAACGAACCTTTATGACTTTTTTCTTTTCTTTTTCATATTCTTTCAATTTTTTTTATTTTTCCTTTTTGTTTAAAAAATGTAGCAGCCTACCTGAAATTCCCTGAATGAACATTTTTGACATTTGTTCTTGTTTCAAATGTTTTCGATTTTTTTTTCTAATTTCGTCTAAAAAACAAAAATTAATTCTTTGTAACATTACAGCAGTCACCCCTTTACATCCCAGCATCATTAGCATCTTTAAAAAAACAAATTATTTGCATTGTCGGAGGTGTCCGAGAATTTGCGAGAACCAGCGGGAACGCTAGGAAGCACCATGTGCTTTTCTCGTTAATCAAGCGAAAGCTCGTCAATCAAGACAAATTTTCACAGAGTGGTGTGCTCGTTATTCAAAATGCTTGTAGATTGAGGCGCTCATCACTCGAGGTTCCACTGTATTATTGTCTAGCAATAACAACTCATTACCTATACACAAAATTGCAAAAAACATATGGAATTATGACCAAGCTGCTGTCACAGAATGCTTCAAACACCAAAGCCTAATAGCATCTATAATGTTGCTACTCATACCGTAGACCCCTGGCTGCCTGTCTGCCTGGCTAGCCAGCATGTGCAAGGCAAGATAATGACTGGATGTGTCTCACTCCCACACACTACAATCCCTCAAAACCAGTCCCTCCCTGCCTTCCTCCCTCCCTACAACCCTCACACACCCGGTCCCTCCCTACAATCCTCACACACGTGGTGCCTCCCAACACTACCTCTCCCTCCTTTCCCCTCACACCTTCCCTTCCTCATGCCCCCATCTACATACTTCCTGGCACAATTAATTCCATATTGGCAAATGTTTGAGTACTGGCTTGCCTGTTTGTTTAGGTCCAGCTCACTACTTTTTATATGCCAGTCTTTGATATAAGGAGAGATTACAGACTGATAGATACATAGACACATACAAATAACACATAGGAGGAGAAACTGTCTGACATAAGACTGAGATTGACTATGACTACCTGACAGTCTATGCCTGCGATACAATAGTCAGGGGAATAGGTGAAGATGTAATCATAAGAATTGTGTGGAGATGTGTCAATGGTCAGGAATTGGAAGCATCATGAAAAAATCAAAAGAACCTGCCAGTCACCAAAACTCATTAATATAACTGGCTCTTTAAGAACTAGGATTAGCGCTTATAACTGAATTAAAGTTTTTGATGACACTTTATGCGAGGGATCATAATATTTTCCTTTTTTAATGGCAAGATGTCTTATTGCAGTAACCATGCAGTTGAAGATAGAAGAAAATGGTAGAAATGCATTTTCATTGGTCAGAAAATTAACATGACACAAAAGTAGCTGTCATAATATGCCTACCACAATACATGCCGTGCGTGTAATAGTAGTAAGGTGGAACAAGACAGCTTTGCTGCATCAGCATTCTGCATCACAACTCTCTCCAAACCTTAATTCATTTTGTATACAAATTCTATGTTTTGGGATTTATTAATGATTATTTGTTATTATGTGCCACCAACACCTGTCATATACTGCAGTTTGTGAAGTGATTTGCCGATGATTGCCCTGTCGTATGTGTTGGTCAAAATGGAGAATGCACAAGAAATTTATTGGCTGTGAATTTTTATATTTAGATCGGCAAGTGCTATGAGTGCCTATCTTGGACAATGTGTGTGCTAATAATAATAATTACGCAAGTTATACTTCTGATATGGAATAGTTTGCCAAAGATAGCTCTATTTTATGTGATGGTTAAAATGAAGATTGCATAATGACTTATTTTTTTAGTTTAGTGTTGAAAGGTGGATTATGATATATCGGTACTTATCTAAATGCACTTGATAGGTATTAAGAAGATATTCTACTACACTATTCTTCTGGTAAATCAAGGGGGAAAAACCTATATATGGAGAACTGTGGCCGTCTCAATTTCATTTTTACCTGGGGAGGATGTCAGAAGGTGGGTGGGGTAGGGTGGGGGATTTGCCACAAGTCTATAAGGTTGTATGAAATTCCTTATTGAACAAAACAACTTTGCCCCATATAATTTGTCCACTCAAGTTTACACTGTATTGGTAATGAGCATCATTACATTTTTGTACCAATTTCCAATTAACTGTTTAATATTTGTAAAAGTCTACTTATATATATAAATTGGGTACAGGGTCTAACGCCTTCCAATTCTTTTAACAGGCATTGTGGCCTAGTCGTGAAAGTACTGGACACGTTAAGGTGGATGGGGCACCTGGCTGTCTGGGGTCGAATCCTTCGGGGGTGAGGAGTTTTCTATTGCATATTGACTTGGGGACCATTCAAGCTTGTTCGCATTAGTGTTACTCACATGACCCTAACATGCGAGGTGATTCAATGCAATATTCCTTGCAGTTGTTGTGGCCTATTGGTGAAAGTACTGGACATGCTAAGGTACATGGAGCTCCTGGCAGTCTGGGATGGAATCCTTCGGGAATGAGGAGTTTTCGGTTAAATATTGTCTTGGGGACCATTCACGCTTGTTCGCATATGTAAATAATTTTAATTATACAAAAACTGTATCTGAGCCATCATCAACAATGCAGAGTATATAATATACAGCATTGAATTAATTACACCTCTTTTCAGTGGGCCCCATAGTGGCTCCTTAGGGCAAGCCACTTGGAAAGAGAGTATTATATTTATCATGCTGTACTAGGCCCTTACAAGTCAAGTATATCTACTGAACAGAATCTGGTTCACTCAAAGAGGCACAGGGAGCTGGGGATACTAGATCAACCTAGACCACAAGGAAATACCACCAGAGATACAGCACTCCAAAACACACAACTGCAAGGAAAAAATTATTAAAATTAACCTACAAGGTACACAGTGGTTAAGTCATTACCACCGCTAGTTACACCCTCCTTCAACCAGGTGTCAGACCCAGCAACCCCAATTCCACTTGGTGACACCAAACCAGACATCTACTATTCGAAGCCCCAAGAAAGGAAAACAGCTCACCTAGGGCTCAACAAGAAAGAGATGTTTCATATCATTCACTGCTGGATTTTTTGGAAGGATGCCACAGTGGCTCCCTGCAAATATCACACCTGGGTGGGGAGAACAAAACAAAAGAGGGCCCTTCCAGAAGTGGGAACAAGAGGAGGGGGGGGGGGGTATTACACAAGAACCCTCAAAGAAAGGGAACGCAGCCCCAGGTTATCTTGTAGTTACCTTATTTTGGTTCCAACGATCAACATCCTCATGCCCAGGTCTCTGACTAGGGCTCCTGGTCAGTGATCTAGTCGACCAGGTTATTAGGGGGCAGCTGCTCGTAGCTTGATGTATGAATCACAGCCCACTGCACCCAAGAAAATTCACAAGACATCGTGCAGCTAATATCCAAAAAGAAAGCCAATACCCAAAAGAACAGCCAAAGGCTGATATAAAAATAGCCAAAGTGTGTCTTTTTGTGTCTTTATTTGGCCTTTATGGCCAAATAAAGCCTAGGCTAAGGGAGAAAGGAGTGCTTACAGAGTAACAATGAAAGAAAGATGAACATATACTACACTCAGAAGATGCCACTTCCCCGTAGGGCAAGGTACGAATAAAACAACAACAGTGCATATAGATGTCATCAATGCTAGGAAATGTAAACAAACCCAAGAGGAGGCTGATGTAAAAAGGATAGCAAACTAATAAAATAAACAAGTGCCCCTCCCCCCCTCAAAAAAACAGCCAGAGCAGACTCAGTGGGCAATAACTGATCATCATCAGAGAGTTGTACCCTCTGATGATGTTGTACACAGGATGATTACGCAGAAAATGCCAAAGCCAGCTCACAGAAATTTAGTAGAAGAGCGCATTCGAAGCAATAACAAAACTAGAACACAAACCACTGCACACCCCCAAACTAATAAAAAACTGTTTGCCCCATCCTCAGACCTTCACATAGGAGTCACAGACCAATGCACTACTCTTGAAATGGAATGCCTTAAGAGTAAGCAATTTAAAAGGAACAAAATCCAAACTTTAACTGGGTAAAACTAATGCAAGTGCCTAAGGAAAGCAACCAAAACACAGGCAGTTGTAGGCAAACAAGTGATTTGAGGTTTACTTACATAAAATCATGCATATGAAGCTAACACCAAAAATGAGAACAAATATAAGCACACGCTCCAATTGCCAACACTTATCTGTAAAAATGGGACCATGAAGGTGGTGCAACACAATATGCACTTGCTTTGGTAGCAGCAGGCACATGACTGGTGCAGTGCCACCAGGCATATGCTGAGTTACCGGGTTCACCACTAGACAGTGAGAAGATGTAACTTGCAGTGTTTCTTTTTGTCAAAGTTATAAATTTTGTCCAGTTGCATATTTTGGAAAGCTCTGACTTTCTGGTAATATTTCCTCTTGATCTGGGTTGCTCTATCAATCCCAATTATCCCCAGCTCCCTGTGCCTCTTTGAGTGGACCAGACTCTCTTTCTGTTTCCACTAAGCATTTATAACTGCCTGCCTTCATAACCCTTTTAAGGGTCTGGCAGAGTATGATGTACAGAGCTATTTATGTGCTAGCTGCAGGAAGTTCTCCACAGAAAAATTCTTCAACATCCGCTCGACGCCCACAAAGAGTGGCTAAACCATGTTACAACTTCTACATAACCCTGGACAACATGGGTTCAGAGCAGGACGCTGCTCTCCCAATTACTAGAGCAGTAATTGCCTCTCACAATTACTAGACCACTGTATGTACTAGTACAGAACAGTATAAAATTTTACAAATGCAAGGTTAATGTCACCAAAACATAATTTCTCCAGGAAGTGATGATCAAAATCACCCGATGATGATAAAAATTACTTATTTTATGAACTGCAAATCAAACGGACTTTTTAATTATGAATAAATTATAATTAAATAAAACATTTCAAGTTAACGAAAGAAATTAGGTTGAAGACAAATAGGAACAACTTACAGAATCAAGACCCACCTTCATCTGTTCCTGCACCTGACGTAGCTGCTCTTGAAGTTGAACTAACTTTCTTTCTCTCTCATCTTCAGAGTCATCCGTTTCACTTTCACTCTCACTATCAGACTCTTCTGAATCCGTGGCTGGGTGAATTTCAAATGGCTCATCCTCTGGCACTTTGGCATATCTGTTTCAATGAAAGAGAGAGCCATACCATTAAACTACATTTAAATATACTGTTCAGTAATACATGAAAAATATCTATATCGTGCTTTAATCATAAACTCACCTGCACCTCCTACAAGGCAAAACACATAAATATTATTATTATTATCATATTTTTTTTTTATTAAACCATCCCACACCAAATGTGTGGCCCAGTGGTCAATGCTGTTGGTTCACAAATGGGCTCTAGTCAAGGGCTCAAATCATGAGCAGGACAAGACACTTGTGCAAACACCTGTCTCCATACACCTGATGCCTCTGTTAAACTAGTAGTAAACAGGTACTTGACTGGTAGTTGACTATTATGGGTCGGTTTCCAAGGAATTGTCAAACACTGTTTGCTTGCAAATACTGTAACTTTATTTTCAACATATTTTGAATGAAAATAAACTTTTTTTCTTTTTTTGTAGTCCTTGCTACCATCACAGCAAAATGTTGATAAATGCCAGAAGCCATACAGACCACTGCCCAGCAACCCAAAAGGAAGATAAATGATTTTTGAACATTTTTCATACATACAAAGCTGCAATTTCATAAAGAAGGCAAGTAAAATAAATTTGTATATGTGCAATCAGTGCAATATTGTGACAATATTGCTTATAGCCACATTAGCCCTTAGGCAGCAATTATCAGCCATTGACGATTCTTGGGGTAATGCAGTTATCGTCATACAACTAAAACAATTATTGTCCGAGTTTTACATGTATGATGTAAATAAGGATATAATAGGTCCCAGTGGATGCAAATAAAGAAAAACAAGTGATAAAACAATCACTGAGACATCCAAGGATAAAACATGAAGCTCCTAGGTCAATAAAATGTTTACTCATATAATTGTAATCAGTCTGTATCTCCTCTTTGTATGACTTGACAATTCCCTTGCTGTTTTTTTCAAACGTCTACGATAGAAAAATGAAAACCTGCATTATGAGAACAGTCAAATCAAGGGATCCCATCCCAATGCTCATAATATTCAAATAACGTGTACTGTCCCACCTTGAGTACTGCTCGATATTTGCTTCCACATTAAGAGCAGGGAAAGATTGCTGAAGTTGAGGGAATACAGAGAACATATATGACACACACAAAATTATTGGCACCTAAGTTATTGGGACCATCTCAAAACTCTCAAAATGCACTCCCTGGAAATAAGAGGGGTATCACATAATACATACACGGAATATACTGGAAGGTCGAGTCCAAAATTTGCAATTTAACAATATACTGGAATAAAATAACATACTGGAGCAAATTATGTGGAAGGAAATGCAGAATAAAGCCAGTGGAGAGTAGAGGTACCACAGGCACAATCAGTAAACACTGCATGAACATCAGAGGTCCAAAGATGTTCAATATCCTCCCAACAATAAACAAATATTGCCAGAACAAAAGTTGGACAAACCAGGTTATAGTGGATATGTAGCTTGTGAGTTGCTCAAGCAACTGTGAGCGACAAAACTCTCAAGTCTGGCCCCAGATTGGGCTTGAGGAGTAAAAAGAGCTCTTAGAAACCCCCTTTCAGGTAAGATCTAGATAAGCAATACAGGCCATAATAAGACCTACTAATTTCATAGCTTATCAGGACTAGAAAAGAAAAGTGAGATACACTACAATGATTTGCATGTTTATTGTAACCATTTGGATATGTTGCATAAAGATGTCTGCCAGATCTGAGGATCTTTCTTTTGGGATATTCTCGTTTTATTTTAAGGTTATGAAGAACTAATTAAGCTGCAAAAAGATAATGAACAGAAGCAGAAGTTTAAACAATTATATTAATAATTGTGGCAACAGATATATTTTTTCTTTATCCTTGTGTGTCCTTTATTATTTATTCGTGTTCTTTATCCTGCATTATAGAAAGTACTTAAAAAGCTTATGCAACCATTTCCTTATTTGGGCTCATACAGTTTCCTATTTCGGTTTGTATTTTCACTAAGAACATCAATAACATTTCTAATAAACCCTGGCCCCTAGAGAAAAAAAAAGTGAAAGAGGGCAACAGAGATAACATGGGAAGGGGCAAACAAAGAAATGGGGTGGGGTTCTTCTAGACGCTAGTGCTCTCTACAGTGGAATACTGCTGCACAATGACAGCCTCTGTGAAAGCTGGAGTAATTGCTGACCTGGAGTGCATGTAGATATCCTTTACTGCTAGAATCCATGGAGAGTTATCCGCAGAAAAGAAAATAGCCACCACACCAAGGAGCCATGACCGACACAATAGAGCTGAAAACACGCCAGCAAATGTGGGAAGCAAGCAGACTAGAGGGACGAAAATGCCCCGCCCAGAAGCAGAAGACCCAGGCAGGGGCAAACAGCTCCAGAACTGCAAGGGGGCATCCCCCACATCCCCAGGAACCCGCAACAGAGGCCCCGGGGCAGAACCATCCTCCACGCCCTCTGCCCTTAAAGAAAAGGAAGAATCCAGGGAAAAGCGAGCATAGAAAGAGCCACTGGTAAGACCCAGACGCCTTGGCAGGAGGAACAGGCTCGAAAACCTCCACCCCCAACCCGAACGGGGCAACCCCCGGAGCCACCAGAGTCTCAGCACCAACTAAACCCCGCCCCTAAAGGTTGTTATGCCTACCTTTCTGGGTGCCTAACCCCAGTCCGATGGCAGATAAGGAAACCCCCAACCACAAGGGGGATTTTCACAGCATTTGCTCCCTGAAACCTCTCTAAAGGGGCCAGGTTCTGGCGCTGGTCCCTGGTAGGTCAGAACTCAATAGCTAATGTCCCGGTCCAATATAACATACATTAGCCCGATGAGCTCCAGGGAGCCGTAGGGGCCCCCCCACAGAAAAGATGGTGAAAGTCTAGAAATAATGGAAACCGCAGATGGAAAGAAGAATGCAGGAAATAAAAGGGAGAACAGGGTTGAAAAGAGTGGGCTGTTCAGCAGTAATAGGAAAGGAATGTTCGATTAAAAATGGGGAAAATGGTAAAGGGATTAATAATATACAAATGAACATAGGAACAAAGATAACTGCAGAAGGCCTATTGGCCCATACGAGGCCACTCCTATTTACAACCACCCTCTTCATAAGGAGAAATAATAAAGAGGAGAAGGGTGGGGGGGACAAAAATATGAATAGAGGAGAAAGAAAAGGGGATGAAGGAGGGAAGCAAAATTTCGTAAAAAATATATCTTACCTCATTTCAAAAACATCTTGTAATTTTCTAGCCATGGCTACAACATCATGGTCAGGAGGGTTATATTTGTAACAATTGGTAAATATTGTTCTAACATCTGCTGCGAACTCTGCACCATTCTTGTACTCTCTGTTATCCATTTTATTCTGAAAATGTAACAGCAGTCTATTTCAGAAAATGTAAAAATTGATTCCATATAAAATACTAAATTAAAATGAGAAAAGTTGACTCACATTCTATTATCTATCTCATTCCATTTGATTGAAATACAAGTAAAGATTACGACACTTAAAATATTTAACACAGTTATGTACATGTTCAGCTCTACACACGTTTGCTTGTTGAGCGAGTCATCAACTCAAATTAATCTCATAACCACATCCTTAACTACAGAATTAATTAGCTAAAAAAACACTGGGCAAATTTAAAGATGTACAGCAAGTTTTTGTAATGAAAAGAAAAACAAATGAAGATACAAGTAAGTCCATGTCTCAACCTGTTTCATTTTCAGAACCGGTATCTAGCAATGCATCCTTCAATACAACCCGTTCTTGCAAATTTAATAAGTCAATATCGACTTATTAAATATGTGCATAGGTGACATACTTAACGCCATACAACCGCTGCACATTCCAGCTTTGGTCTCTTTGATCTAACAAAAGTCGTGAATAATTTCTTTAGTATTTTGCCATCCATGTATTTAGAGGCAATTCTGACGTTAGAAAGTGTAGCATAGGCTCCTCGCACAAGGTTCTCAGGTGAGTTTTCTATCTAGACCCACCCCTAGATCCCTTTTTTGTCGGAATTCTTTAATGATTTCACACATAATTAATAGGTTGTGTGGGGTCTATGTTCTCCTATTCCACATTCCATAACATGGCATTTATTCACATTAAATTCCATTTGCCAAGTGGTGCTCCATATACTTATTTTGTCCAGGTCTTCTTGAAGGGCATGACAATCATCTAAGTTTCTTATCCTTCCTATTATCGTAGGATCATCAGCAAACATGTTTGTATAATTCTGTATACCAGCTGGTAGATCATTTATGTTGACAATGAACATTACTGGTGCAAGAACTGAACCCTGTAGTACTCCACTTGTAACATCCCTCCAGTCCGATACATTGCCTGATTACTGCCCTCATTTTTCTATCAGTCAGAAAATTTTTCATTCATGTTAGAAGCTTATCTGTCACCCCTCCAATATTTTCCAGTTTCCAGAACAACCTCTTATGTGGAACTCTGTCGAAAGACGTTTTTAGGTCCAGATAAATACAGTCAACCCAACCATCTCCTTCCTGTAAAACTTCTGTGGCTTGATCATAGAAACTGAGTAAATTCGATACACATGATCTTCCAGATCGTAAACCATACTGTGTCTGATATATCATTTCTCTCCAGGTGTTCTACCCATTTAGTTTTTATTATTTTTTTCCAATATTTTGACTTATTACACTTGTCAATAATACAGGTCTATAACTGAGGGGGGGGGGGGTCTTCCCTGCTGCCACTTTTGTAGATTAGAACTATGTTAGCCTTTTTCCACACATCAGCTACAAATCCTTTACATAGGGATACCTGAAAAATCAGTTGAAGTGGAATGCTGAGCTCAGGTGCACATTCTCTCAGAACCCATGGTGAAACTCCATCTGGACAAACTGCTTTGTTCTTACTTAGCTCCATTAGCATTTTTTCCACTTTGTCTCTAGACACCTCTGTGTACTATATGTTGTTCTCTGGAATTCTTATTGTGTCTGGTTCCCTGAATTTCATTTTGTACAAACACATTTTGGAACTTTTCGTTTAATGTTTCACACATTTGCTTTTCATTTTCCGTGAATCTATTTCCCATTTTCAACCTCTGAATATGCGTGATGCAAAGAATTACACCATTTTACAACATGTTTTCAAAAAGGAGCTGGAAACTCAGTCAGAAACGGGAAAAAAACATTGTTTGCAGGTCACCTTGACAAGAGATTTCTTGATTGCATTGCTCTGAGTTATGTTCTTCCAGTTCTTGGATAATTTCATTTATAGACCTCACACACTTTTTCATAGTCTTCACTATTTGTAAGCATTTAAGGGTACAACATAGACAATCTGTTGTTCCATTGTGTAACTGCTAGCATAACACACTGTTCCATTAACCTAAAAAACCAGCGTTGAATGTATAGAAACGCCATTTTCTTGTTGAGACCCGGTGGCTCTCCGGAGCTATACTGGGCTGATGTGTATATATTAGACTGTGTCAACAGTCATTTGATGGGGTTGTATGCTGACTGGGGACCACGAGCCAGAACCTGGCCCCCTTAGAGAGGCACAAGGAGCAATGGCCTATTGACACCCCCGAGTAGTTGGGAGCAGTCTATATCTGCCATCTACCAGGTCAGGCACCCAGAAAGTAGGAATCCCAAAACAAACTACAGCTGGTATAAATTTGCATACCAAGAGATGAACGAGCAGGCAGAACTCACCAAACAGAAAACAAGCAAACAAGCATGGTGTCACCACAGCCACCAAGCCGCTGTCTGCAGAGCTCCCATACCTCACGCACTGGTTACCCAACCCCAGTTCAGAGGCTGAATATCAAAAACGCGAAAAAACACCGACCGGAGAGAGGGAGGAATGCCGGGAACCTCCAGGTCTCTCCCAGAAAATGGTTTTCTGGTTTTCTGTGGAGAGTCCCTTCAGCTCCCCAACTCGAAGTCGAGACAACTGGGTGCAACCTGCGACCCAATGCTACACACAACCAAGAAGGGCCCATAACATTAACGAGGTACCGAGCGGCCAAAACCCTGTTCGACCTCCAAAAATCCCCGTGCTCGAATGTCAGCCCAGGACATACAGTATTATCAAACACAACAGCCAAAGCCATGAACTTACGAATGTCAGGAGCATGGGGATAGACATGCCGGCTGGCTGAACCCTATATCTTGTGGACGACCTGGGAGACCTGCACCCTGGAACAGGGAAGAGAAACCAGGTCAACCCAAAGTGCGTCCCCTGCCACCAAGGCTGTGGCATGCAAGTAACGGCGTAGTCGCAAACTGACACAAAACAGAACCAACCAAGCATCAACAACCCAAGGACCCTTCCGGAAAGCAGCAGTCTCGTTCTTTGCCAGAAAAGGAGGAGACAACTGCAAACGAAGAAACCGACCACCAGGACCGAAAGGGCAGAAACCCCTGTGCCGGAAGATAGCATGAAGCTCCCCGACCTGACTAGCTGGGATATATATCTGGAAAGATATACCACCTGGGAAGATTCATGCTTTGCGCATGGGCAGGCCGAAGGTGATAACGCCCGAGACAACTTGTGGAACAGAGCAGAAGTGACATCCACCTCGAACGCAAGCTTCAGCGGCTCCGCCAGTGCCGCACGATACAAGGCGACAGTATTCAGCACAAGATGACAGTAATGCAAGAGAGAAAGGCCAAAACAAACCGATCGGAAATCGGAGGCAACCTACGAAGAGTCGAGAAGTGCCGAAAGGACCACCAGGAAACTTCACACTGCTGCGGGGAGACAACATAAGAATAAAGGTAACTGCAGAAGACATATTGGCCCTTACAAGGCAGCTCCTATTTATAACCACCTAATCCCACTCACATACATGTCCAACCCATGTTTGAAACAATCAAAGGACCCCACCTACACCACATTACGCATTAATCAGTTCCACAAATAAACAACCGTCACCGAAACCAGTATTTGCCCAAGTCTTTCCTAAATCTAAACTTATCCAATTTATACCCATTGTTTTGGGTTGTCTTGTGTTGATACTTTTAATATCCCCATTGTTATACCCATGCATCCACTTGTACACCTCTATCATGTCACCACAAGTTCTTCGTCTTTCTATAGAACATAATTTAAGCTATGTCAATCTTTCTTCATTGGCAGTTTTCTAATTTGAGGGATTAACTTTGCCATCCAACACTGGACACGTTCTTTTTAGTATAAACCCCATTTATACTAAAACTCTTGTTTCCTTTAGTATAGCCATGCCCTAATCCAGCTTAATATAGCACCCCCAATACCATGAGCCTCTATCTTTTTAATCAAGTCCTTCATGTGGCACTATCAAAAGCTTTGCTAAAGTCAAAGTACACAACATCACAAACCTTACCACTATCAACTGCCTCAATTATGCTGGAATAAAATGATAGCAAACATGAATGGCCATTTGTAAACCCATGTTGTAAATCTATTAATTTATATTTTTTCAAAGTGAAGATGAATGATATTTGCAATTATCGATTATCAATTATAAAGAAAAGAATGGACAGTCTGAAAAACAGGAAAACTCCGGAACCTCGTAACGCACCCAGTAAGGAAAAGAGGAGCCATACTCAAAAGAAGAAGGATCCATTATGGAGGCGTAATCTGGGTCACGCAGGCGGTAAGCCACAAGGGTCTTGCAAATCCCTAGGGGAAATGCAGAAAACTGAAAACCTCCGCAAAGAGGGGAAAATAAGAACCCATGGGAACCTAGAACCAAATCCCGGGAGGAGCCTAACTCATATCAAACTCGTACAGGGATGGGGATACGAGAACCCCTCCCCCTGTAAGCCCCGGCAGGAGGAGCATGCTCAAATGCCTCTGCCACTGATCCAGGAGGGGCAGTCCCCGAGGCTGCCCGAGTCTTATCAACAAGTAAATCCTGCCCCAACTCCTGAACCCTCAGATGTTTGGGAGCTGGGAGCATGAGGGGGTGGGGAGGAAGAGAAGAGCAGGATGAACGATAGCACGGAAAGGACATAGGGGGGTGCGGACGAACCAAAATTAAGGCGACTAACACTCCCAAGTCCGGGTCTCTACAACCCAAACAGGGCAGCCGTGGGGCATCCGGAAAGGCAACCAACCGAGCTCGTTGCAGCAACCTAACCCTTGCATGCAACGCAGAAGCTGCCTACAACCGAATATCAGTAACAGTGCACTGGGTGAACTGAAGTACATGCAAGGAACACCACTCGCAAGACTCTGGGTCAAGGGTGTCATTGACCCAACATGCAGCATAGCAGAGGCAAAGACGGTGAATGTCACCCCCGAGACAAGGGAACAGAGCAACCTTCAAACTCGCACAAGGCGAGGTGGGACTCAGGACTCCTCCATCAGACCAATGAGCCCCAAAGGGGGTTTCCAGGGCCCTTAGGCTGACTGCTAAGGGAAGCCCAGGCAAGGTACTGCTAACTAGTTATCCCAGAGCTACCAAGCAAACGAACTTAAAACTGTACCCCTGCAATGTGTACAATCCCCCCTTCCCAGGAAAACAGAACAAAATTAAAAGAAAAACATCACAACAGCACAACAGCTCCAGGAAAACAGAACCAGCTGCTAAGCATATATTAGAGAGCTGCACAGTACCTTGCGCCCCAGCCAACAGGAACAACCCCAGCTGACCCCAAGGGCGGGCAATCACTAAGCAGCTGAACAACTTATGGAAGATAACACTAAACTGCAAGGGCACTACTTACAGGTCACCTGTAATCTAATGCAATTACACTTAGAAAATTACCTAGGGAAGGTGACCCTAGGAGCTGGCAGCCCCAGTATTTCTTTAATCACTCCTGACTCGCACTCTACCACACCACACAAAGTACAATTTCCAGTCAAGAATGTAGCACTTGGCGTAGGCAGTTCTAATTGTCTACGAGACACTATAGCTTCGACACAGAACAGGCAGCAGACTAGGACTGCATCTGGTTGATGGGGCATCGAGCGAGTTCTCCTACATAGAGCTCCGCGACTCCGGCCATACTCAGCTCTCTGTTCTGCTCCAAGCTGTGTCTCACCGTCGATGACACTGCTGTATCCAGAACTACTAAATAAATATGAAACTCACTAAAAACTGTGTATATAATCTACTAAACAACGTAACAATCGTACGTTACATTGGTCTACTCAGTCTACTGTAGCATTGTAGCGTTGTCTATTCAGCCTGGTGGCTGAGTAGACAACGCTCTAGACTCATGGACCTATAGACCGGGGTTTGATCACCGCAACCGGTGGAAACAGACTGGCAGTTTCCTTCACCCTGATGCCCCTGTTACCTTGCAGTAAATAAGTACCTAACAGTTAAACTGCTGCTACGGGCTGCTTCCTGGGAAAGAGTGTGTGTGAAAAAACTAGCGAAACCCCACAAGCGAAACTAGGTGAATACAGCACAACACCACAAGGCAAAGCACTGCTCAAGGATTGCAGCCAGAGTCGATCGACCGCCACCCAGCACAACAGCCTCAGACCTGGGGTTGGGTAGCTGGCACGGGAGGTCTGGGGCTCCCCCTTACACTCCCGGGAAAAAAGAGAGTTGCGCAGACAGTGGCGTGGTGGCTGTGGGGACGTCATGCTCGTTTACTTGTTTTCTGTTTGGGAGTTATGCCTGCTCATTCGGCTTTCGGCTTGCAAAATTTGACCTGGTAGATGGCAGATATAGACTACTTCCAAATACACTGGGGTGCCAATAGACCATTGCTACTCGTGCCTCTCTGAGGGAGGCCAGGTTCTGGTTTGTGGTCTCTGGTAGGCCTAGAACTCAATCGATTGACTGTTGCCACGGTCTAATATATACACATGAGCCCGGTATAGCTCCAGGGCTCTCCACACAAAAGACAAAACAAGATCTTAACACTGCAAGGGGTAAGAAAACATTATGGCTACCTTATAGGTGTTACAAGAAAGCAATACTCTACCTTAACTGTGCCCAAGTCCATTGGATGTTTGATGATCTCGTGGTAATCCGACAACCCCAGAAGATCAGCATCCACTGGCTTATAAAAGGGCCACGCATAACCCTGAAAAAGAAAGCAATTTTTTGTAAAATTAAGAATGCCCTTTTTAAACATCATTTACTTTAATTTTAAAATAAAAACGTGATTTATGCAAAATTCTGACATACAGTACATTAAGTAATTTGTATCTTATGCCAATCAGTAATGTAACATTAGTAGGCAAATTATATATTTTAGGTAGTAATACATTTTTAACTTGCTGAACTTTCTATGTAATAATAAACTGAACAACTTCTAAATACAGTGGTACTGTAAATACTTGAGGTTCCACTGAACAATGTAAGCAATAAGGTTTGCATATTGATAAATCATAATCAGAAACTATAATACCTACCTACAGTCATACACATACATACATATATTGTTGAATATGACAAAGGGCAAGATTAATGATTCTGACACAAATCTATTTTTTTTTTTTTTACAAATATTGAGAAGATTCCTGTAAGAATCATTAAGCTTACCCTTACCCTTATATACTGGTTATAAAACAAAATTTATGTTACTGGATCTGGCTTAAACACCAGCTTACTGAAGGATGTATGTATAGACTTAGTCTGCGTTCGTACACACCCAGTGCCCTTAGCTTTGTCTGCCATTAACGTACAGTATTTATCCGCCGGTGGAAGAATAATTGTGGAATTGACAATTTTTTACTACAGCTCTTTGGTTATAAAACAAAATGTCTCAGGGGCTTACTAATAGTGCCTTATTAATGCCAAAAATGAAACAATATTTTGCAAGAACTAGTAGCAGAAAATCAACCAGGACGAGCACAGACGTACCCAACACAAGAACAACCGTACCAAGCACGAGAACAACCGTACGCAGCAAAAGAACAGCCGTACCCAGCAAGAGAACAGCTTGCCAGCAATAGCCAGCACGAGATCAGCTGTACCCAACACAAAAACAGCCGTACCAAGTACGAGAATAGTCGTACCCAGCACGAGAACAACCGTACCCAGCAAGAGAACAGCCGTACCCAGCAAGAGAACAGCCGTACCAAGTACGAGAACAGCCGTACCAAGCACGTAAACAGCCGAACCCAGCACGAGAACAGCCGTACCCATCACGAGCACAGTTGTACCCAGCACTGGTACAACAGCAGCCAGCACCAGCTGAACCCACAGCAGCAGCGAGCACCAGCAAAGCTGACGCAAACATCTAAAAACATCGTGTGCAGCGTGAACAGTTAGAACAAGTGTTAAATTTAAGTGTGTACACAGTGTTAAAATTAAATTTGCGGTAATTTTAATGTACAGTAGTTTTCATAAACTATATTGTAGTACTCAACATACAGCAGAACTACGTTTAATCAACACAGAGCTAACGGCATAATGCCCTGCAGTACGTATTTACTGTAGAGCATTCACAACTTAACTCCAACAATAAGGTAAATTTATGAATTACAGTATTTTTTTGTAGAGAAGTAATATATAGGTACAGTATGTTGTATGATAATGCATTTAAATTGTGTACAAGAAAAAAAAGGACACTGACACAAACGCCTCCTGAAGGTCACCTCTTGCAACGAATCCAACGCTCCAACGGACTGGGGTTGGTCCCATATAGTACATTGAATCGAGGTTGTACTGTATATGTATGTATGTATGTATATGGTATGTATATGTATGCATGTAGGGAGCCGGTCGGCCGAGCGGACAGCACGCTGGACTTCTGATCTGGTACCTGGTTGATGGGGTTCTTGGAATTCTTCTACTCCCCAAGCCCGGCCCGAGGCCAGGCTTGACTTGTGAGAGTTTGGTCCACTAGGCTGTTGCTTGGAGCAGCCCGCAGGCCCACATACCCACCACAGCCCGGTTGGTCCGGCACTCCTTGGAGGAATAAATCTAGTTTCCTCTTGAAAATGTCCACGGTTGTTCCGGCAATATTTCTTATGCTTGCTGGGAGGACGTTGAACAACCGCGGACCTCTGATGTTTATACAGTATTCTCTGATTGTGCCTATGGCACCTCTGCTCTTCACTGTGGTGAAGAGCAGAGGTGCCTCTGCTTCACTCTGATCCTGTGGTCCCGGGTTCGATCCTGGGCGCCGGCGAGAAACAATGGGCAGAGTTTCTTTCACCCTATGCCCCTGTTACCTAGCAGTAAAATAGGTACCTGGGTGTCAGTCAGCTGTCACGGGCTGCTTCCTGGGGGTGGATGCCTGGTCTAGGACCGGGCCGCGGGGACACTAAAAAGCCCCAAAATCATCTCAAGATAACCTCAAGAAGATGTATATGTATATGTATGTATATCTATATGTATGTGTATGTGTGTGTGTGTGTGTGTGTGTTACACAGGGAATAGAACAGTGCAAGAAAGATATGCAACTCACCTATGCACAAGTGGCCAAGGAGAAGGAAAAAATAGAAGAAGCAGTAAAGGAAGTCAAACACTGCAGCAACCAAGATAAAACAAACATTAGGCTGGAAGTGAGAAAAGAATTGGCATCTAACCCGAAGTTGGTGCAAAACACAGTTGATCGGAGTAAGTCCCTGATCATTTTTGGCTGCAAATAAAAGGCGATAACATCTAGGTCAGAAAGAGCTGTAGAAGAAGCTAAAGTAGTAGATAAAATTATTGGCCTCATGGAAGGTCTTACAACCATAGAGAATGTGTGCGACTACAGGAGAATAGGCAGGTACGTAAAAGGGAAAGATCGACCTTTGAGGATCACCCTAAACGGTGCCAAACAGATGGAAGAAGTACTAAGGAATGCTAGAAAATTGCAAAGTGATGAGGATGGGAAAGTGTGGTCGTTAAGACGAGATCTTTCAAAAGAAGATAGAGAGAAGCTGAAACTGAACCTCGCCGAGGCAAAACATTTAAATGAGAGCAGGAATGAAGAAGAAATAAATTCTTTTTTCTACAAAGTGATAGGGGTAGGCAGGGGGAGTGAAGAATAAGGAGAGGGGGAACAAGTTCCTGAAGATTGCATACACCAACATAGATGGAGTGAGATCGAAGATACTGGAGTTAAGTGATGTAATACAGCTGCAGACACCAGACATTGTTGCACTCACGGAGACAAAACTTGAAGATGTAATTTTAAATGAGGTCATATTCCCAAGAGGCTATTCAATTTGGAGACGGGACAGAAAAATTAGGAAAGGCGGTGGCGTTGCTGTGCTGGTAAAAGAACACCTAAAGGTGAACGAAATAATGACTGCCAATCCACAAGAAGTTGACATAATAGCACTAGAGATCTGCCATGAGGATGATAAACTAATGATAATAAATGCATATAGTCCACCGCCAAGCAGCACATGGTCAAAGGAGGAGCTAGATAGTAAACGTGAAGGTCTTATAACAATAATGAGAGAGATTATAGCGAGAGCGGATAACGATAGATCACGACTGTTGATAGTCGATGACTTCAACTTGAAATCCATAGACTGAAAAGCATATGAAGCTAAAACAGAAGATTTTTGGACCTGTAAATTTGTAGACCTCATCCTGGAAACATTCTTGTATCAACATGTTAAACAAGCTACGAGCATGAGGGAAGGGGACGTTCCCTCCACGCTAGATTTGATATTTACCAGGAAGGAGGAAGAGATATTTGACATTCAGTACCTTCCTCCCTTGGGTAAAAGTGACCATGTCTTTTTGGGAATAAAGTATGCAATGCGTTATAAGCTGGAAGAAAATAAGGAGGTTGAAGCAGTTGAAAAACCAGACTTCAGGAGAGGACATTATGGTGACCTTAGAAATTTTTTTAGTGAGTATAATTGGACAGACTTGATGCTAGGCAAGGAAGTGAATGAGATGTATGTCAAGTTTTGTGAAATATATCATAAAGGCAGAAAAAAATTTATACCAAAACAGAGATGCAGAACTAGGAAACAGGATTGGTTCAATAGAAATTGCGAGAGGGCTAGAGACCAAAAGACACAAAAATGGAATCAATACAGGAAGAGGCCGAACCCCCAAACATACCAGCGATACAAAGATGCGAGAAACAACTACACGGCAGTGAGGAGAGAGGCAGAAAGAAATTTTGAAAAAGGGATTGCAGACAAATGTAAAACAGATCCAGGTCTATTCTATAAATTCATAAACAACAAATTGCAGGTAAAGGATAATATTCAGAGGTTGAAAATGGGAAATAGATTCACGGAAAATGAAAAGGAAATGTGTGAAACACTAAACGAAAAGTTCCAAAGTGTGTTTGTACAAAATGAAATCTTTAGGGAACCAGATACAATAAGAATTCCAGAGAACAACATAGAGCACATAGAGGTGTCTAGAGATGAAGTGGAAAAATGCTCAAGGACCTCGGTAAGAACAAAGCAGCTGGCCCAGATGGCGTTTCACCATGGGTTCTGAGAGAATGTGCATCTGAGCTCAGCATTCCACTTCACCTGATCTTTCAGGCATCCCTGTGTACAGGAATCGTAGCAGACGTGTGGAAACAGGCTAACATAGTTCCAATCTCCAAAAGTGGCAGCAGGGAAGACCCCCTCAATTATAGACCTGTATCATTGACAAGTGTAATAGTGAAAGTATTGGAAAAACTAATCAAAACTAAATGGGTAGAACACCTAGAGAGAAATGATATAATATCAGACAGACAGTATGGTTTTCGATCTGGAAGATCCTGTGTATCGAATTTACTCAGTTTCTATGATCGAGCCACAGAGATATTACAGGAAAGAGATGGTTGGGTTGACTGCATCTATCTGGACCTAAAAAAGGCTTTCGACAGAGTTCCACATAAGAGGTTGTTCTGGAAATTGGAAAATATTGGAGGGGTAACAAGTAAGCTTCTATCATGGATGAAAAATTTTCTGACTGATAGAAAAATGAGGGCAGTAATCAGAGGCAATGTATCGGAATGGAGAAATGTCACAAGTGGAGTACCACAGGGTTCAGTTCTTGCACCAGTGATGTTTATTGTGTACATAAATGATCTACCAGTTGGTATACAGAATTATATGAACATGTTTGTGATGATGCTAAGATAATAGGAAGGATAAGAAATTTAGATGATTGTCATGC